AGGTAATGTCTCCCAGGCCCACCCAGCTTGTGGAAGCAAGCAGCCAGACAAATCAAAGGCTTTATTGGATTTGTTAAACATCCATCCTGTGGCCAAGGGCCTCCTGGCACCGGCCAGCATCACAGAGAGAAAAAAGAAAATCAGATGATGAAATTAAAAGGCATTTCATTTCCAGAGCCAAGGCTGACACACGCAAGTCAAGAATTCCTCTCGCTGCTTTCCCTTCCACCCAGCCTCCTCCAGGCAGCCCCACACACACCACAATGCAACCATGGGGGAGTGGGGTGTGCACAACTCAGGAGGCCTCCTGGGCAGCTATCTTGGGGCAGCTGTCCTGAGACGCCCAACCCAGGGATCAGGACCCAGGAGGGATTCAGGGAAGGAAAGATATGCGAGTGGTACATAAGAGCCCACATCATCATTCCCACTGTCACCAATCTGAACTTGATTAGCTCTTCCATATAAAAGTGCAGGCCCCTAGCTAGATGTGATGCTAGGGACCTGCTAGTCCCAGTACTCCAGGTGGCTGAGGCAGGAGGATCGAAAGTTCGAACCCAGCCTGGGCAATTTAGCAAGAGACCTTGTCTCTAAATAAAAAAAAATAAAAGGAGTCAGGGATGTATCTTAGTGCAGAGGTGCTGAGTTCAATCACCAGTACTGAAAAAAAAACAAAAATAAAAAAGCAGACTCCAACCTGGAAGAAGGCAGCTCAGGCCATGGCTAAGAAAGGGAGACAGTGGAAGGCACAAGAAGTCAAACAGGCAGGGGGCAAGTTTTAGTCTCACAGACCAGCTCTGCACCCTTGGATCACTCACTTTCTTGTGCCTCAGTTTCTTCTGCTGCACAAGAGAGGAAGTGACCATGGTGGGAAGGAATGAGACACTTTGGTGTAAAGCCCCTGGTGCCCAGTAGGCATGCAAACACGAAAGCTATGTTGATCTTTAGGGATGCCTGGAGCCCTGTTTCCCAGATCACCTCCACTAGCTGGAGGGCGACTCTGTTTTCCCACTCCCCACCCCCACCCCCAGGCTCGAGGCAGTTCTCCCAGAGCCTTTATCAGAGCAAACTATTTGTGTGAATTACATTGAATCGCATAATATTTTCACTGCTTCCCTCAAGGGCATTGCCTGATTTCTGCTTATCCCTCTCGGAGCAGTCAGGCCACTAGGGGCACTTGTGTATAAACAGATGGTATCTCCACACAATGTTCTGGGGAGGGTGTGAGTGTGTCTGTGTGTGCACGTGCATGCATGCATGCGTGCATGCGTGGGAAATGGATGCTCCCAAGGCCAAGGTTGCCCCATCCGGTCTGCGCTGCCCTTGAGAAAGGATGGACGGGGACTAATGAGCACAAGGAAACAAGAGATGTTAGATGGCTTTAGAGGAGATCAGGACACTCACCCCTGGCTCTTTTCAATATTTCTTCTGACAAACATCAATTGAGCACCTGCTGTGTGCAAGGCAATGTATTAAACAAAACAGACCTGATGGGGCTCACAGATGAGGACTGACAGGTGGGAATGTTGGTAGAGCTATAATCTGTCCAATGATCTACTTCAAGGGGTGTTAGTCAATGACCCCAAGTCAGCCTAGAGGGAGCTGGTGGAGAGGCACGGGATTGTCTTTGGTCCTTGTCATCAGGGATGTGATGACTGAGGGATTCTGGATGCCAGCAAACTCTGGCCACCCTGGAGGTGGCAAATTCAGTGCATATTTTAAGGTGGAGGCTACAACCTTTGCTGGGAGACTGAATGTGGGGTTCAAGAGAAAAGAGAGGCATGGATGGCTCCAGGGTTCTGACCTGAGCAGCTAGAAGTGTGAAACTTCCACACTAGGATGGGGAAGGTTGCAAGAAGGGACGATGCCTCATAAAGATGACAATCGAACACAACCAAGTGGATGCTGACGTCATCCCTTGGGCGCTAGCACAATAGTCAAGGGATTTCTTTAAGGGTTTGAAAGTATGAGCCCACAGGCTGTGTGAACAAGAGAGAAGGTAATAGCCACATTCACAGCTGGAAAATAAATGGAGTTAAAGAAAATAAACCAGGAAAAAATCGCCCCACATCTCAAGCTTTGGCAGCACCAGTTACCTGTGAAAGGTGGGATAAAGGATAGTTAAAAAAGATTCTTCAAAAGGCTGTTTGAGAAGACCAGAGATCTCTAGGCTAAGGGACACCAGGTGCAGTGCATATGGCGGCACTCTGTGATGACAGGGACAGTCAACGAACATGAGCAAATCCAATATCGAGACTCCAGTAGTCTCCCCTCCTTCTGCTCTCGGGATGCTGACAGCCAAACTTCCATTACAGAATTACATGCTCCACAAAGACTGTTATAGTTTAGATCTAGCGCCCCCTCAAAGCCTCCTGCGTTTGGAGACTGGATCATGGAGGCGCTACACTGTCAGTGGGTTCATCCACGGATGAGTTCAGTAGCTAAATGTGCTGTCAGGAGGTGGGGCCTGGTTGGAGGTGGCCACTAGCAGCATGACCTGGAAGGGCGTACAGTCGTCCCTAGTTATATTGCAGTTCACTTACTAGGGCTTCACTGTATCACAGGTTTTTAAAAATATATATATCTAATTCTGTATTGCAGAGTTTTTGCTATGTCGCAGGATTTTGCGGTATATAGGTATTTATATAATAGTTATGATTTCAATTATTTTTGCTTAAAAATTTTTAAACAATATAAAAAATATTAAAATGTTAATTCAAACATATTAAAAGAATATTAAATTGAAAGAAAATACAGTATGTATTTTATCAGCAGATGAATACCGTACTGTACACAATGGAAATACAGTACACCACTACTGCTTGCGCATCAACGTGAGATTGTATACAGCACACTATTGGCTGATGGAATGGAAGGCGACCAACCATAGCACTGTGTTCTGTATCCTGAGTGCTGCTTGGCTCAGCAACCGTAACATCGGTCTGTTTGTTCTCCCGCGCTGTGCCCGTATGTTCAGCATCTCTCCTTGTCCACTTCACACGGAGTACCCATATAGAATTTTACATGTTGTTAAAATTACATGGGTTTAAGAGCGTAGGAAGTGTTTAAGAGCATATGCAATGTTTATAAGAGTGTGGGAAAGGTTAGTAAGAGAGTGGGAAACGTTTAGAGGAGTGTGGGAAGGGCTTATAAAGCCTTAAAATATATATGAATAATAAAATAAATATAACACTGCTACTTTGCGGATTTTCACCTATCGTGGGGGTCTCTGGAACCTAACTCCCGCAATAGGTGAGGGATCACTGTATTGCTGTCCCTGGCTCCTCCCTGCTCTTTCAGCTTCCTGTCTGCCAGAGTGAGCAGCTTTCCTCCACCATGCCCTTCCTGCCACTGTGCCCTTCCTGCCTGATGCTAGGCAACCATGGACTGAAATAGACCTCACCTCAAGATGTGGATGTGGGGTATTGCATCTAAACAATGGAAAAGAGACTAAGACACAGACTGCTGGAAGATTCTTATCTGGGAAACCTGTTGAGCCGAGGAAAAAATACCTAGAGAAACCCTAGAGGCACCAACATCAGAGCTTCTCCAATTAAACAGCCCAGCCACATCACACTTCAAGAAAGCCCATAGCACTCTAGATGCACCCGTGTACTTGGAGGTGCTCATTGGCCCCTACACTCCTATTTTTTTTTTGGTCTTTTTGAGACAAGGTCTCACTACACAGTCCAGGCTGGCCTTGAGCTCACTTTGTAGCCCAGGCAGGCCTCAAACTCACAACAATCCTCCTGCCTCAAACTCCCTAGTGTTTGGATTACATGTATGCACCACCACACCCGGATTACATTCCTATTTTTAAATATCTATGAAATAACTGAGGTTTACCCAGCACCAGAAGAAACCCTCTGGCCTGAAAGATAAGAACAAAACAAACAGAAAGTACAAATTGAAGATAAGAAAAAATAACAGTGAAGGAAAAAACAGAAGACACGTGCATGCACAGGTGACATTAAAGTGGGACTCTAATAAAAGTGGAAGAACAAAAGAACTTTAAAAATTAAAAGTATGATGGAAGAAATTATAAAAGAAACATTCGAGGGGCTGGGGATTTAGCTCAGCGGCAAAGCGCCTGCCTGGCAAGCGCAAGGTCGTGAGTTCGGTTCCCGGTACCGGAGAAAAACCAAAGAAACATTCGAAAATAAGGTTAAGCCCTTCTAGAGAGACAGATAGGGAAAATATGAGAGAAAGCCATTTTAGCTAGAAGACTTATACAGTATTTTTTACCTTTTTTTTTTTTTGTCTTTTTGAGACAGGGTCTTGCTGTGCAGTTCAGGCTGGCCTTGAGCTCACTTTGTAGCCCAGGCTGGTCTCGAACTTACAGTGATCCTCCTGCCTCAGCCTCCCAAGTGCTGGGATTACAGGCATGTGCCACCATGCCCGGCTTTATACAGAATTTTCATATTCAAATAATAAGAGTTCTAGAAAGAGTAGGAAAATTATAAGGAAGTAACTCATCAATAAAATAATTCAAGACTATTTCATGTGCCCGAAAAATAGCTTTTGATTTTAAGGACCCATAGAGGGTCCAACCTAACAAAAGTAGACCTACACCAAGGCACATCACCGCGAAACATCACTACCATGCAAGCTAAGAGGTTTTCTAAGCTTCCAGCTAAAATGATTATGAAAGAAAACAGCTTCCTTCTCCTCACAGCAATATTCAAAATCAGAAGGCAACAGAACAAAATCACCAAACTTCCTCAAGGAAAATCATTTCCAACCTAGAATTCTACATCTAGCCTAACAGCCAATCAAGAATGAAGATGCAATAAAAACATTTTCAGTATGCAGTCTCAAAAAAAATCAGCATTCCCTATATCTTTCCTCAGGAAGCACTAGAGGATGTGCTCCACAAAAACAAAGGAATAAACAGAAATAGAAAGACTTTAGATACTAGAAAGCAAAGATCCAACATGACAGAGAAAAAGGAAAGAACCCTCTAGGCTGACAGTAAAGGAAAACCCTGGATGATACCTACGTACCAAGTGTAGGAAGCAACTAGTCCAACCTCATGCAGGTCAGAAGGATCTGGAAGACCTGCAGAAAGATGAAATTGATGATAAGTGGACATATCTAACTGTCTAGAGAGAGGACTTACACTATTGGCCAACAGTTTGGTGTTACTTACAAATATAAGCAAACAAATTTAAAACAAATTTGAAAACAAATTTTCAAAAGACTGCCAGTAACACCAGGGAAGGAAAAACTTGTACAAGAAAGAAAAAATGATGGCATTATAAGGAAGGTAGGGGAATGGGAAGAACAAGGCTAGGGTTGGGGAAGAGAGCTAAATCATCATCTTGCTTAGTGTGAAGTCAAATATCTAGGCTTCCCTTTCTGGCATGCAATGTGAGGGGCTGTCAGACCTTTCTGTCCAGTGAAATTCCTGAAAATTATTTTTAAACAGCCATTTAAAAGCTCCAGAGCTTGCTGAGTGTGTGACTCAATGGTAGAGTGTTTGTCTAGCACGTATAAGGTCAACCTGTACCACAGCAAAAAACAAAACCCCAAAGCTAAAGTCTCCAGAAATGGCCCTAGGAGCATAAAGCAAATTTTAAAACATGTTTCTTCAGGGCCAGGTATATAGCTCAGTGGCATAAGTGCCTGTCTGGCAAGCGCAAGGTCCTGAGTTCAATTCCCAGTAAAAAAAAAAAAAAAAAAAAGTTTATTCAGGAAAACCTACTAAAACTCGAAAACAAGAGCCTGAGAAATTAGAACCGTGATCCACTTCCTATCTCTCCTGTCTCATCTCAGCTTTATGGAAACTGCACTCTAGAAGGGCACAGGCAACAACGAAGGGTTCCCCTCACTCTAGCTGCTAGTCACTGTCTAGCCTACTATCACAGAGGCCAAGTTCTAAGGGGGTGCAACTGAGAGATGGAGAGGGGCACTGTTCGGCCCAGCCCCTGCACTGAGGTGGAGGCTTTAACTTGAGTATGATATGCTGAAAAACGCTGGTGTCCCCACTGCCCTCCCTCTGGTTCCTTCCAAAAACAGAAGTTCCACACCAGAAGAGACATACTGAGAAGACCAGATGCTACAGCCAGCCCCTACTCCACCCAGTGCCCAGTAACTCCTAAAGGGGAGGTTCTACTGAAAAAAAAAAAAAAATGTTACCACATGCCAGAACCCTGGCTCAGAGATATTCACAAGAGAAGGGACCATGTCATGTTTTAGATATAGAATGTTCCCCAAAGGCTCACTCATCTGGAGGTGAGGCTTTTAGAAGGTAATCTGATCATAGGAGTGCTATATTCATCAGTGGATTCATCCATTTAGTAGTTCAGGGCTGAACGTGCTGTTAGGAGGGAGAGTCTGGATGGAAGTGAGTGGCTGGGTGTATGATCTGGAGGGATAGATCTCCTTCCCCAGTGCCTGCCCTGTCTGTGTCTTGGCTGCCATAGCATGAACAGCTGTCTCCCATACAAGCCCTGCAGCCATGCTGTTTCTGCCTTAAAACCAGCCAACCATGGACTAAATTGACTCAAAATAACCTGCTCATCCTGGTGGTTGTTGGGCATTCTGTCCCCATGATGAGGAAAGGGTCTAAGACAGACCATAAAACAGAGAGTTCAAACCTTTCCTCACAAAAACCGACATAGTTTACCAGAATATGGGGAAGTTATGGCCTGAGGACATCCTCAAGAATAACAGAGGTTGTGGTGAAACAATGAATAGAAGACTGGTAGATTAATTTCCAATATAAGCTAAATTATAACTACCTAGTTTACCAGAGATAACCTGGGAAAACTACTGCCAAGAAGAACCTCCAGGAATCACAGCAAATATTAGACAATTACCTCAAAAGCTATACTACAAAGGATGCCGGAATTATTTAAATGTTTTATTTAAATTTTACAACAAAAGAACCGATAAAACATGCATGAAACAAAAAATATTTTTACCCACTCATGAACAAAAAATTAGGCCACAGAAACTACCCAGGAGAACACTCAAATGTCAGATTTTGCTGATAAAATTCAAAGTAGCTATTTGATATACTTTCAAAGAACAGAAGGTATAATGACAAAGCTCATCAAATAGAAGGCATAGATACATAAAAATTATTTTTAAACAGAAAGCTGGGAACTGAAAAATATCATAACTGAAATGAGGAATTCACTAGAGAGGTTCAAAATAGATTTGAACCGGCAGGAAAAAATAATTCACAAACTTGAAGACAAATTGATAAAACTACACAATCCAAAAAAAAGACTGAAAACAATTAAATAGAATAATTTGAACCTCAGAGAAGCATGTAACACCATTCAGTATACCAACATATGCATAATGGGAGTTCCAGAAGAGGAGGAAACAAAAAAGCAGGAAAATATTTAAGCAAACAATGGCTGGAAACTTTCCAAATTTGATGAAAAACTTTAAGCTGCATATTTAAGCAACTAAAAAAAAAAACTTCAGTAAGATGAATGCAAAGTAACAAAAATGGTGAAAGCCAAAAGAAGCAGGAAAAATTTCAAATGTAACAGAGAAAAATAAATCATCATTTCTAAGGGAACCCAAAAAAGTAAACAGCTGACTTCTCTTCAGAAACAGTGGAGGCCAGAATGCAGTGGAATAACACATTCAAAGTGCTTTTTTCAAATGTCAGTCAAGAATCTTGTATCCAGAAAAACTACTTTTCTCAAAAAAGAAAGAGAAATAAGGATATTCCTACTATTATTCTGTACCAAAACCAGACAAAGACATCACAAGAAAGAGAAAATTACAGAACACTATCCATTATGAATATAGATGCAAAGTCCTTAACAAAATGCTAGCAAACCAAATTCAGAAATGCACAAAAATAATTATATACCATGATCATGTGAGATTCATCCTAGAACTCCAAGTTTAACATCTGAAAACGAATGTATGTGATTATACCATATCAAAAGAATTTTTAAAAAATCATATGAGCATCTCATTAACACAGAAAAGGTATTTGACAAAAACCCAACACCCTTTCATGCCAAAACAAAAAAAATCCACTCACCAAATTAGAAGATAATGAAACTTCCTCAATCTGGTCTAAGGGCAGACCATTTTCTTTCTTTTCATTTCCATTTTCTTTGGAAAATGATACTTAGTGGTAAAATATTGGGTGCTTTTTCCCTAAAAACAGGAACAAGACAAAGATATCCACACTCAACACTTCAATTTAACAAACTTTCTGAAGGGAAATTCAGCAAGAAAAAGAAAAGGAAAATGGCTCTAGTCACAAATGACATGACCATGCACACAAAAAACCCTAAGGAATCCACTAAAAACTATTAGAACTAGTTAACAAGTACACCAAAGTTACAGAATAAAGATCAGTATAAAAAATTGTATTTCTTTACATTTTTTCATAAGCAATTCAATATTAAGAGTATAGTTCTATTTATTATACATCAAAAGGAATAAAATACTAAGGAAGAAATTTAACCAAAGCAATGCAAAAGGAACACACTGAAAGTATAAAACATTATTAAAAAATAAGAAGAGACCTAAATAAATTCAAAACCCTCCTATGTTCATGATAATGAGAGTTGACAATAGGATGGAAACCTTTCCCATACTGATGTATAGATTCACTGTAATGCCTTTCTAAATCTTAAAGGCATTTATTTCAGAAATGATAAAGCCAATCCTGAAATTCATATATAACTACAAGGAAGCCCAAACAATTAAAACTATCTTGAAAAAGAACAAAACTGGAGGAATCACATTCCCAATTCCAAAGCTCACTACAGAGCTATAGTAATTAAAACAGTGTGGTACTGGCATATGGACAAACATACAGAGCAATGAAATAGTGTCAGGAAGTAAAGTCATGCATTCTAAGGTAATTTAATGAAGAAATAATAGTCTCAACAAATGATACTCAAAACTCGGACGATTAGATAGCCACAAGAAAAAGAGTGAAATTTGGCCCTTACCTCACACTATATGCAAATACTTAACTCAAAATAGGCCAAAGGTCTAAACATAAAAGCCAAAACTGTAAAACTCTTAGAAGAAAACAGGGATAAGTCTCCATGAGCTTGAATTTGACAGTGGAATTTTAAATGTGACATCAAAAGCAGAAGCAACAAAAGAAAAATGAACTTCAAAATTAAAAACTCATGTTTGGTCCTGGGTTTTGGCACCAACAAAAAACATTTTTTTAATTTTGTGATTCAACAAGATGCTAACAAGAAAGTAAAAATAGGCCTGGCCTAGTGGCACATGCCTGTAAGGGTGAGGCAAGAAGATCACAAGCTCAAGGCCAGTCTGGAAACTTAGCAACTTAGTGAGATGAGAGGAGGGGAATGGAAGGAAGAGAGAGAGAGTGAAGAAAGAAGAAAGGAATGCAGGGAGGGAGGTCAGGCAGGCTGGGGATATAGCTTAATGCAAAGGCCCTACAATTCAATCGCCAGTACTGCCTCAAAAAGGTGAAAATATGGGGAAAATGTTTACAAAGCACATGTCTGATATGGCATTTGTATATATAAAGGACTCTTACAACTCAATGAAAGGCCAAATAATCCAAATTGAAAATATGCAAAGGCGATGAATAGATATTTCTCCAAATAAGATATACAAATGGCCAAAAACACATGAAAATATCATCAACATCATGGGTTATGGAAATACCAGTCAAAACCACACTGAGATACAGTTTCACACCCTCTAGAATGGCTATAATTGAAGATCAGAGAATAACAAGTGTTAGCAAGGACATGAAGAATCAGAACCATCATAGCTTGTTGGTGGGAATGTAAAATTGTGCGGCCATTGTGTAAAAAAATGGTCTGGTAGGTGCTCAGAAGGTTAAATACACAAAAATTCTTGTTTTATATATAGCATATCCAAAAGAAACTAAAACTATAAATTCCATTCAAACCAGCTATTCTCTTACAAGGTATCTTCCCCAAAGATTTAAAGGCATCATATTACAGTGATACACACATACCCATGTTTATAGCAGCACAATTCATAATTGCTAAATCTTAGAAGCAGCCTGTATGTCTATCAATAGATGAATGGATAAAGAAAATGTGGT